CACCTATGTCACTTGGTACTGGGCTGGGGTTGTCTCTCCTCCTAGCTATCTTATAACATTGTTAGTTTGCTTCTGATGACTTCCTACGGATCCCAGCTTTCACCATCTGACGCTGTTTTTAAATCCCGCCTTTTTCCATCAACATCTTTCTCCAAGATAGACAACAGTAGCTAAATTTGCTTTTTTCACTCAAGTGAGAACACTGGATAACATTAGCAGGCTAAGAAGAGGGTGCCTCTTAAATCAATGGCTTGGACAGTTTGGGGGATTAATGACAAGTTTGGATGCTCTAGTAGTAAGAGTTTCAAATTTGCAAGTCATAAGATAAAAGGCTTACTTCTCACTTCGCAGTTTATTAATGCACAGACTGCTTAATAGGACGTTTGCCATTTAAACCTCCCTTACAGTTTATAGGGAGTATAAAATTACATACATTTTAGCTTGTTTAAGCTCCACCGTAAGGTTGGTCATTTGTCCTGACCAACACTTAATACTCTAGGTGTCGTCAGTCAGCTTTCCGATTAGAAACTCCGCCCTCCAGAGGTGCTCAGACCCAGTCTCCAAGAACAACAGAGGGCTCCTAATTAGCATAATTCATGTTAAAATAGATTTTCTACGGTAAAACGAATGGCTTGCCAAGTTGCATTAGTGATGCTACATGTAGAACCTTCCGGGTGAAAATGTGTTGGGTGTACTGTCTAGACTCCCCTTTTGCTTTCACAAACTGAGTCACATAAAAAAATCCTGTCCCTTACACCTGTAAGTTGTCTGGAGACTGCTTTCTAGACTGTGCTGGGTTTAGTCCTTGACTGAACCTTCAGTTTCCCAGGGATGTGATGGCTCCTTTAAGGTTAGTTGAACACAGTCTCTGGAATTTGGCCGTATCGGCTTCAAGTAAACGCTGCAGGTAGCTGTTGGACTACCTAAAGGCCCAGAGCTAGACTTTCCTCAGACTTGTAGACTAGATTGTAAGCACAGTCTTGTGCTTGGTTCCTATTAAATTTTCAATATTTGCCTCTATCTGAAGCCAAATTTGCTTGGGGATTTAATTCTAATATAAACTAACAAAAGAGGTTATAGGGAGAATTGACAGTCACTGCCCATGTCTAATTGTTGGTGATTGCTGTTATTTGAAAAAAGTTCATTATCACCCCTCACTTAGTACTTAATCTTTCTTTAGCTCATCCCATATAAATAAGTATATTTGTAAATATATATTATGAACTCTCACAGGACACTTTTAATTGGAAAGGAACAGGCTGAGGCAAAGGGAACAGAACTTGCTTTGGAAAACTCAGGCTGCCCTATGACAGGATAGAGAGCAGGGATTTTATGAGTTCTTGGAGGGATATAGACAAATCTCTCCCTCTGGGTTTAAGGTGACTTTCCCATGTAAAATACAGATTAATGACCAGTTTATCTTTGGGGATATTCTGACCTTATCATGTACTTGTTGAGTTTTTCTTTGAAATAATAAAGGGTAAGAGATAGGCACATTCCATACATAATTAGGGAAGGAGAGAAACCATGTAGGTAATATCCTCTATTAAGACAGGGGGTCATGTTGCTTGGTCCCATGATTGCCCTGATTTCTATTTCACTCCCCCCTTGAGGTTCTCTTCCTCCTTACTGGAGGGAGAAGGTTCAGTGTTCAAAACTGCTTCACAGCTGGATTGAGGACTGTTGAACCAATCTATTGGAGGAATGGGCATTCTTAAACATGTGATTCATTGGGGAGAAGCCTAGTGCCATGGGCTCTCCATCTCCCATGCCACATTTTATCCTGTTTAATGGGTGTGTTTTCCTGCATGCATGCCTGATGCTCACAGAAGCCGGACTAGGGCAACAGATGTCCTAGAACTGGAGTTACAGGTGATTGTAAGACTCTACATAGATGCTGGGAGATGAGCCCAGGTTTCCTGGAAGAGCAGAGAGTGCTCTTAAAAAAGGAGCTATATTTTCAGACCCATTCCATCCCCGAGATTCTAGATGGCTCCCATTATTAATTGTTAGATGGTGATGCACACAGATTTCCAGACAATAGGTTCTGTAGGAAATTGTGTGATTCAACACATGTGTGGGGTTTACCTCTATTAGCAGTCACATTAAGACCTTATAGCTTGATCTGACTACTGCTTGATTTTTCTCTCCCAGAGGTTGTTGGGACTTCTCTAGTTCCTCCCCCTTAGGGAAACTGAAGATCCTATAAAATTGTGAGTACATCCTGCTAATTTTCTTTTATGAGTCAGAACCAACCCATTTGGAACAATCCATAAGAACAAAACACAGTTATAAATAGCTAGGATATGTCATCGACAAGATTATGATGATGACAATGATAAATAAAATTTCCATATGCAAATTTTATGGAAAAACCTTGGGTTCTGTTTGGTTGTACTGATCATGAAATTTAATAATGTTTGAGGAGCATTGACATAAGCCAGTAAGGGCTTTTTCCCCCCTCATCTAATAAACTAGGGCTAGGCATTCTAAAGCTCAGCTATTCCATAAGATATCCAAGATCTATCTAACCACACTGCTGCCTCATCCTCAGTCTTTCAAGATGGCTACACTAGCTCCAGGTGTGTCGTGGGGAAGGAGAGTGAGAAAAGAGCTTTTTCGAAGTAATGTTTTTCCATAAAATTCAAGAAAAAGCTGTTTAAAAAAATCCACCTACTTTGGACAGAACTTTGGCATCTCCTACTTTCAAGGAAATTAGGAAGGAGTGGTTTTAGACAGATATTTTACCATCTTGAGCAAAATCGAATCCTGACATCAAGCAAGACGGAAATGGATATTGACAGGCAACAATTATTGTTTACAATTTCTGTATATGCCAGTCTCTTTACTGACAACTTGCATGTCTAATATGCCTTTGTACAGAAACAACTATATGCATAATAAAACTGAGTAGTAAAGATTTTTAATAACTTGTTTAAGAAAAAGAAGTTGAGCATGGTTGTGTGTGCCTGCAATTCTAATACTTGAATGTAATTTCAATGATGGAAGCAAGAAGATTACATATTCAGGTCATTCTGCTATACACACTGAAACTATATAAGAGAGAGGAGAATGGAGGAGGGAGGGAGGAAGCAAGGAGAGAAAGGGAGAAAGAGGAAGAGTGGGAGAAAGAGAGAGGAAGAAAGAAAATGGCATTCATTTTTAAAATCCAAGTCAGTTTGACTAATACCATTAATAATAATGATGATAATAACATAATAATAACAACACATAATCAACATTGGCCAAATGCTTGGCTCAGGTTAGATATTCTTCTAAGTGCTTTATGTTCATTGATTCTGTTCAAAAACTTTTTGAGGAAGGCATTTTTATATTCCTCATTTATCAGGCAAAAAGAGCAAAATTTAGTTAAACAGAGATTCATTAAAATCATAGGAGTCATACAAGTGAAACTCAAGTCTGACCCTTGTTCTATATGACTTTTTAGCTCATGAACAGCTACTCCACAGCTTTTGTAAAACTTGCCTGGCCAAACTGTGTGCACTTTCATTATCAATGAGCAAGCCAATGGCCAAGTACACATAAGGCAGCTGTCTCTGTCCTTTATAACAAAATAATCAGACTGAATAATTTGTAAATAATAGAGACCTGCTTCTCTCTGTTTTGGAGGCTGAACAGTCCAGGTTCAAGGTCTCCACAGATTCTGTGACTGGGGAAGACTGATCGCCTACCTTCAGGATGCTGCCTCTGCTTGTAGCCTCAGCTGAGAGAAAGGATTGAAGGAAACAGCTTGTTCATTTGAACTCTCTTAAAGTGGTACTGCTCTCCTCAATGAGAGCAGACCGGATGGCCCAGTGACCTCCAATTTCCCAATGCCCACACCATCACCTTAAGAGTTAAGTTCCAGTGTATAATTTCTTTGTTGTTTTTATTTGTTTGTTTTGGACAAGGGCAAAGTATAGCCTCAAACCAGAAAAACAGCTTACCAGTACTGAAAATTAAAACAAACAAACAAACAAACAAACAAACAAACTAGTGAGATATGGAGCTGGGAGTTGACATGAAAGCGTTGTGAAATGGGAAGATGAATAGTATCTAGCCGGCATCCACCTCATGTAGAATAAGGACTCAGCCTTTTCCAATGACACCAAGGCAGGCCTCTTTTCTTTTTTTTTTGAGGGGGGGGTGGACTATATTCTATTAATTTTTTTTAAATTATACTTTATTTACTTTGTATTCCCCCATAAATCCCTCCCTTCCTCTCCCTTCTTCACGCATGCCCCTCCCCAAGTCCACTGATAGGGGAGGTCCTCCTCTCCTTCCTTCTGATCTTAGTCTATCAGATCACATCAGGAATGGCTGCATTGTCATCTTCTGTGGCCTGGTAAGGCTGCTCTCCCCTCAGGGGAGGTGATCAAAGAGCAGACCAATCAGATTATGTCAGAGGCAGTCCCTCTTCCCATTACTATGGAACCCACTTAGACACTAAACTGCCATGGGCTACATCTGTGCAGGGGTTCTAGGTTATCTCCATGCCTGGTACTTGGTTGGAGTATGAGTCTCTGGGAAGACCCCTGTGTTCAAATTTTCTGGTTCTGTTGCTCTCCTTGTGGGATTCCTGTCCCCTCCAGATCTTACTATTTCCCACTTCTTACGTAAGATTCCCTGCACTCTGCTCAACAGTTGGCCATAAGTCTCAGTGTCTGCTTTGATAGTCTGCAGGGCAGAGCCTTTCAGAGGCCAAGGCCTCTTTTCTTAGATTGCTGAGCAGTCCTGGTTAAATCACAGGATGTTCCTGTCGGAGGAGAGGAGTCCCGCCTACTGCCCATCTCCTGACCATGTTTCCCTTGCTCTTCACTAACAAGACCCTCCTTTTGCTAATGACAACATTAGGCTCTGTAAAAACAACTCACCTTAACAAACCTTTTTGGATCTAGAGAATGGCCACAGTCTAAGAGGCCAGTCAGCGGTATGTTACCAAACAGTTCCGTCGGAGCTACCTGAAAAGCAGCTGTTAGTTGCTCAGAAGAAGGAAGCTTGTGCTCTGTTCGGCAGCATGAATATTAAAATTTGAATCATACAGAGAAGATTTGGTATGGCCCCCATGTAAGAATGACACGTAAGTTTATGAAGTGTTCCGTTATCTTGTGCAGTTCCTGGAGGTTGTTCAACACTTTGCTGATTCATCCCAAATACAAAATGCCGTATCCAAATGCAGTGTGTGGCAGCCAAGATTGAAACGATGTTTTCACTACAGAAGATGGGAGTGGGAGGATGTCAAAAAGCTCAAGCATTTGCCTTTCTCGTTCTCTCAGCCTAGCCTGGAATGGGATTGTGATATGCAGGTGGGAAAGTGTCACAGGAGCGAAGGTTATGGCATCACTCTTAGCGTGAAACAGTAGTCAGGCAATCAGCCTGAGTCACTGGTAGGACTGTGCGGCCTCCGCACTGATCTCAGCTGGCTTATCTTTGCACTAACACTGAGTCATGAAAAATAAACCCTATTTAGGTAAGTCCCTGTGGTTTCTATCTCACTGTGGCACAGAGCTGAACATTTCCAGTGATAGATGGTCATGTCCCCTACAATTAGGTTAATTTTAAAGGAGTCGTGTTCAGCACAGGGCGTATCATGGTCATGCTTCAACCTTCACTGTACAGAGGACCAAAGTGATGTTTAGCTTGGAGTTGATGGAGTTACAGCTTGGGGACCTCACTCTAAAGGGCTTCAGCACTGCAAGGTGACATCGCAAATCTTTCCCCCCCGAGGCTGAGTGTTTGTTCCCCTACTCTGAATCTTAGCGGTAATGCAACTGTAATGTAGACTTTAAATAGAGATGCCTGATACGAAAGAGATGTCTGTAAACATTTCTTTCAGGAAAAGAGAGCAAATAAGCTCCCCCTTTTCAACTTCATTTTGGATACACACCCAGGCTTCTTGTATCCCTTCTCCCTGAATTTGGTCCAAATTTTGCTTTATTCAGAATTTCTCTGGTTAGTCCTGCTAATGGGTTCTCACGAGTGGTTCTGCTCCTAGGAAGAAGGCAACTTACAGGGAGAGAACTGGCAATATCCAGTTCTCCAAGCTTCCACTCAGTCCGTGGCCATATCTTTAGCCTCACACAGTAGATCTGCATTTTTAATTAGGATTTTCATTGAGAGCTAAGTCTTTTCATGACATGCTCTTGGAATGAAGTCATAATCATCTCTACTACATATTTATTATGTATATATATACATATACACACTGCATACATATTTATATATAACATTAGGATTGTTGCTATGGAAACGATTACAGTACTAACAAATTAAGCATTGTGACTCCACTGTAGTAAGAAATAAGAAATTCAAATGAAACACCAAGCTGTGGTTTAAGCACCAAAAGCTTTAGTAATTAAATACATTGAGACAGTACAGAAAACCGCGAATTAATATTTAGGAGCCTTTTCCAGTATGAAAGTCAGCTTTGATATTGTTTTCTTTTTTCCAGGGCATCAGCAACCTACATCTTTATAAACAAAGTTTGTCACTGGATTAAGAAGACCAAAGCTGCTGCCCTGGAACCTCACACACCTACGGTCTCAGCTCTCATTGTACGCAGCCCCACCTCCCACAGTCAGCTTTACGTTAATCAAAAGGAGCACTTTTTACAGAGAAAGCTTAAATGTGAAGTCGCCCTAACATCCCCCGTTTCATTCAGACAACATGTAGAAACTACCCCTGGGGTTTTGAATATATTAACATCCTTTCACAATTAACCCTAATGGGGCCAGTGTAGCGTTTTCCCCAGCCTCTAGATTCAAAGCTGCAAAATGCATAGTGTTTAAATAGATCTCATTATATCAGCTACACCAAATCTCTCCTCTTTATATACAGAGGATTGCACCTCTTTCTCTGTCATGCAACATTAAAATAGGAGCATACACAAGGTTGACATGAATTTGACAAAAAATTAATGATTTGTACATCACTTTAATGCTTCAAATCTGCAATTCATGTATGCTAATTAATTCATAATGGGCTGTTGAAGAACAGAATTGTCATCCTGCTGTTTCACAGGTTTCTGGGAGCTTCCATGCAGCACAGACTTGCCAGGCTGGCTTCTGGATCCTGGGCTGTAACATGGCAGATCTATGATAGCATCCCCCAAAAAAACTCCCCCCTCACACACACAATTGTTTCCTGGATATGGTGCTTTAATCTATCAGAGTTACGATGGCATATCTCAAATAAGTGGTTCCTGGGTGCTGCAATACATTCTTGGAGCCACGGCATAATGTCACTATATCTAGATGATTGATTTCGGGATTTTAGGCTGTCAGGCTATACCTCAGAGGGCAGCTGTCAGCTCCCGAAATGTATGGAGTTGTATTATGCAACACATTCTCAGAATATATCTACAACTTTAAAAAATATTATTTACAGATAAAAATGGCTGCAATACTAATAGAACAGAAGCAGAGCGGATCACAAAGATCAGTTCTTTTCTTACTATACCATCATGTAGATCTCCCTGCTTGAAGGGAATCAGCCACCAGCTGATTCAGCCACAGCCCCTTGTCTGTTCTCAAAACAGAGACAAAGGCTGTTCTCAAAGCAGAGACAAAGGGTATCAGGGTCGCAAGAGTCTGGGCTGTTTCACAGACAGTGGGGAGACAGCGGTGCTTGCTGGGTTTATGAGTGTGCTGCCATTTATATTGGGAAGCAAACCGACTTTTCCTGATGCAGGGATACCGGCTTGATCTGATGTGGTCTTCGTATCACACCTGCTCATCTGGAAACCGCAGCTGCTGCGCATGTGCAGAGAGAGGACTGCACAAAGGAACAGGAATCAAATTCATCAACAGCTTAAGGAAAAAGTCAGGTTCTAATGGCTCAAACTCTTGTGTTGAAGCGTCTTACAGAGAAGAAAAACAAAAACTAGAGATCATGTGAGAAAAACTGAGTGAAGCAGGGGGGAAAGCTACTCCAAGTAGAGTTGAGTTGTTGAAAGATTTTTGATATTGCCAGTAGTCTTTTTACAAGCAGAGGGAATAACGATGAGATTGAAGGACATCTGGAAGCGCTTTAGGCAGTAAGAATTTAGTTGCAGTGTTTATTTAAGGTCTATAAGCAAGTGTAAAGGAAGACCCATTAATCATCATTGGTGTTTTTAAAAATTTGAATGATTGCAAGTGCCTTTTAAATGATTTGCCTTTTCAAAGATACAAAATGGTATTCCAACCTATAACCCATGCATTGCTCTCTAGCCAGGAAATGTACATTCAATGTATTGATGACATTTTCTAATTCATATTTGTTTTGGTTCTAACTTCTAAAAAGAAAAGACTGATGTAGCCAGGCTTGCCCAGAATTCCCTATGTAACTGAGGCTGAACTTAAACTTCTGATCCTCCTGCCTCTAAATCTCAGTTGCTGGGATTCTTAATAATACTTGAATCACATTTTCTTGTGAGGGAACTCAAGACACAACTTGATGCTCCGTGCAATGGTTGGGTTAATCCAAGCTGGAGATTAAATTTTGTGTTTTGGTAAACATTTAAGCCTGAGATGCTGGGTTATTTGATCAGTTTCGATTCTGAAGAAACTTCCAGAACTTTTCTAGACAAATAGTTTACATTTTACATCTCACAACAGTTTGTTAGTGGTTGGCTTCCTCCACATTCCTCACCTGCCCCATCCTTTTACTTCAGATGTTCAGTGTGAATGATACACAGGCTGTTTTGCCTTGCTGAAGTTTTGACTTGAGTTCCCTCATAACTAGACATCTATTAATTCAGTGTTGTTTTTATAACATTGCTATCTGCTCTTCATGTTCAAAGATGCTGCTTATTTTGATTTGTTGTTCATTTTTTTATTGATTTCTGAGTTATTTATATATTAAGAAAATGGGTGTTGTCAGATTAGCAAACAGCTTCTTCAGATCTCTGAGTCTTTTCTTACATTTACTTAACATCGTTTTGGAGACACGGTCTCACCATGTAGTTCTGGCTGTCCTGTATTTCACTCTGTAGATCAAGCTGAATTCAAACTCATGGAAATCTTCTGCCTGCCTCTGCCTTTTGAGCTCCAGGATTAAAGGCATGCACCACCATGCCTATCTAGTATTAACTTTTAAAGGGAAGAAAGTCATAATCATAATTTTATTATATGTTTACCTGTATATCTACATTTATATCTTTATAGTTGGTATGTGAAAGGTTCCAGGACTCCTATAAATAATAAAATCCAAAGGGTCTCAACTTCCTACATAAAATGGCATAGCATTTGTACATAATCTGGGCCTATCCTCTTCCATGTAATACATCATTTCCAGGTTACGCACAAAACCTAATACAATATGGTGTAATTCTTGCTGGTTGGCTGGTTTATGTGAGTTGGCATGTCTGGCTCAATTCTTTTATTTTTATGTTTCTGATTACAGCTGATTCAGGTTGAATCTAACCCAAACCACCTAGTGTGTGTCTTCTGCTCTATTCCTCTTCATTCTCAGCTCATCTGCCAGATTTTCATTTACCTTACGTTTACTTTGTTCCTTATGTTCCACCATCCTACGGTGACGGCTGAGGATCCTTGAAATCATCTGTCTATACAAAGACTTTACATACACACATGCTCATAGCTGCTGTGTTTTGAATGGCCAGGACATTGAACCCACCCAGATAGTCACCCACAGGTGAGTAAATACATACATTGTGCTATATTTGTGCTCAACTGCTCAGTCTTAGAAACAGAAGGAGTGTTACTTGGGTAATGTGTGTGCATCTGAAAGTAATTATGCTGGCAGAAGAAGCCAAGCAGAAAGAGGACACGCTGCATGATTTCATTTCTATGACAGGACAGGAAATGCAAGGAAATCTACACTGACACAAAGCAGATTAGTGGAGCATGGGGAGGAGGTGTGAAAGGATGCAGAATTCTGAGGGCAGCAGCAACCTGTGCCTGGTGATAGAGATGCCAGTTCACTTGGTTGGCTGAGTGCTTCACAAGCATGCACATATCTTAAAAATCAACCATATTTTCAACATGAGTGTATACAGTTTATCATATGTCCATTATATCTCTTGAAGCCTGTTAAAGTCTTCCCTTTGTCATGTTCAGAGTCCCTGACTGCTGTGTCCGGCTTTCCCCATGGTTGAGTCATAGTA